CCACACCCGCCCTTTCCAAGAAAAGGTCTTATGCTAATCCCGATCGTGTTAGCACCTGCGTAAACGGCCATACTTGGTGGTGCGAGAAGCTTCTACGATCCTTCTTTGAATGAACGATGTGCTCGCATTCCAGTCGACAGGTTATTGCTGCCAGGTGGCCTTGCAGACATTCCTGTTTTTTGTCGCTACACGCGTGCCGCATTACCCACAGTGTTGATTGATTGAGCAACTCACAAGATTAATACGTACGACTTCTAGCACGATCAATCGGAAGTAGAGAGGTTAACACTGTAGGTGTGACGATAACTTCCTTGGTCTGAACTACGCGTGATAGTTGCTGCGCAGTCAGTGTTCGATCAAGAAAGTAGAAATCGATCAATCTCCATTCACCAAGCACTGTGGACGGGGGAATGCGCGAGCTCGGCCTCCGTTACTTGATCAAGCAATTTAGCAAACAAACACGCAGTCACTTCCTCGAGCAGTCAGTGTTCAATCAAGAAAGTAGTGTAAGTTAGATATCGATCGATCAAATAATCAGCACTCTATCAGTTGGGTCTCCATTCATGCTTCCAGAGGTGAACAAGAGAATACATTTCCACCGATCCGTGCATCGAGTTGACGAGTAGGTCGTGGATTAGCGGATGATGAGAACCCTCGGTAATCGCAAGCACGAACTGAAGGGGACGACGATCGGTTCACGTGCGTGTACGCACCTGCTTCATCGATGAATGCAGCTCGTGACAAGTACGAAAGTAATGACCTTTTGGTGAACGGATTGGTCAACTGAAGTCTGTATCTATATATATTGGAAAGAATCGTCGACGATGTCGGTTGAATCAACCTGCTGATTCCGACTGAATGCGATACAGCAAAAGACTCAGTCATTCGAACCACCTGTGGATCGATGAAGTCGTTGAACCCTTCCTTATCATCCAAGCAGCCAATGAACCTGTCTGTCAAATCGGGCAAATAACCAAATCAATCCATCGAGCGGTGCCAAATCAGGCAAATAACGAAATCAATCCATCACAAGCGGTGCTTCGACCAATGTACGTGGCGATTGAGCAGGACTCCGCTGAATCAGTAATTACTGTATGTCGAGGTTGTTTGAGAATTAACAACCTGAGTCCCCGCGTTGTGTTATTTTCGAAATTCTAATCATTTTGTTGTATGCAGGAAAACACCAAGCCGACGAACGGACGGACGGACGAACGAACGAACGAACGAACGAACGAACGAACGAACGAACGAACGAACGGAAGAGATAGGGGTACTAAGTGAGTATCGAAACCCAGTCATATGAGATGAGAAAAGTGACATGTTTGCGGAGGTGAGTTGAATTTTGAAACCTGTGAGGCATGACGCCTCAAATGAGGGTGAAGTTCTTTTATCGTGGATGTGCCTAGTGCGGGGTTTCACAAGGTTTTTTTTTGGGGGGCGGGGGGGGGGGGGGGGGGGGGGGGCGCGGGTGGTTCTTCTCAACCTAGGAGTCCGTCGAATCGTCTCCCGAGGAGAGCAAGGAATGAGCGGTCGAGAGTATCTCCTGGTGGTGGGCGGATTTGGTCTAACTCCAGGCGCGTGTAGTCGGGAAGCTTTTGCTGGAATGGAGGATGTTACATTTGCCGTGCTAGGCGATAATTTCCGTGTGTCTTCGTGTGCGTGTTTGCAGGGTCTCTGCGCGCTCGGCTGCTCGGCTTCTGATGGGTCCCGAATCGTCGTGAACATGGAGTCGTTGTCGGCAGTCAAATCAAGTCCAACGATTTGTGACGGCGGGGTTGAATGTGCGGCGCTTGCCGGAAATGGGCTCCTGGGTCGGGCTCCCTCGTCAGGATCGGGATTAACACCATTAGGCGCTGCCGTGTTTCATAGAGGAGGAATCTCGGCCTCATCGTCGTTGTCGTCGTCATCTTTCTCTGTCTCCTCCTTCTCCTCCTCCTCCTTGCCGTACTCCTCCTCCTCCTCCTCCCTATCCTTTTCAACAATCTCCTGTTCCCCTGTCTCGTCGGCAATGCGCTCGTCTTTATCTGGAGGCGCTTTACTGAACGGGCCGCCGCGATCCGCTGCCGACGATGCTCCTGTGCTGCTGCCATCTATGCCCCCAATTTCGGCCGGCGCTGTTGGTTCTAATTTAACAAACGGACTCACTCCTTGTACCAGTCAGAAGAGGAATGGCGTACCATGCCATGAGCGGGATGCGGTGGTCACGTCTGCTCCGAAGGCGTTGGATTCAATTTGCGGCCGAGGGCGGGGGAGGGCCATGTTAAGGCAACCGTTGTCCGCGCCACCGTTCCTGATGCATATGGCCCCCACGAGCCTGCTGGGAGGGATGCAGCAGCAGCAGCAGCAGCAGCAGCAGGTAGCTTCATCCGGCCCCGTGCCTTATTACGGGAAGCGTCTGGAGCCGACGATGGGTGCTGTCTTACGCTGGCCGCCACCACCGGAGAACCTTTCTCTGTTTACGAACGAGTTGATCGAGGGGTGGAGGCCTTTTCGGCGCAGGTATACTTGTGGTGATAGATTCGGTGAGGAGGTGGACAAGCATTCCGTTAATAACGGATCGATCACCAGAGGCTCCCGACCACTGTCAGAGGGATTGATGTTCCAGGGCCGTGATCCACTGCCGCCACCTGTTGCGGCTCCGGGTTTGAGGCCAGCAGTGTGGAACGGTAACAGTGTGTGGGGGGGTTATGTTGCCAACAACAGGCCTGTTCAGGAAGCCGTGCCCACTGATCCTCCTGTTGGCCAGCCGGATCCTGATTACGATCTCGTCAATGTGATGGGGCACTTGCTGCCCAACGATCTTCTGAGTGGCGTGGTGGATGTGCCACCACCATCGCCACCCAGCCCCGGTCAGGTGTCGGCGGCGGAGGCCATGGCGCCAGACGCTTTCTTTGGGAACGAGCGGGCTGCTGGAATCTGCTGTGAAAGTCCGCCATACGCTGGACTGACTAAGGAAGCTGCGTTTGCCGGGCCGTCGCTGTGCTCGGATGACTTGTGCAGGAAGATTGACGGGGGTCTTCAGCAGCATCGTTGTACGCAGCAGCTTGAAGTAGGGCCTCGTCCTCCTTTTGCATGCGATACCTGTGCGTGTTCGAATGCACAGTCGTCTCTTTCTGCATCATCTTTTTTCTCCAGCGACGATATTCGCAATGCAGCGAAAAGGGACGCGGGTGACATGCATCGCCCAGCATGTTGGTCAACGACGGAGTCGAGCTTGCTGGGGCCCAATGTGCAAAGCTTTGCGAATACGTCTGCCTGCAGCAGCGTTGCTGTCCGCCCTCTTGGTGGTAAGCTGTGCTCCAGCGTTGGGAACAACGGTGGCAGCACGATGAGTAGCAGCAGGTTTTGCATGGATACGAATGCATGCGGCGGCAGCTTCAGGTCTGAAGCGGACCGTGGTGGTGGTGTGCTCGCTTCTTCCGCTGGCGGGATGCTGGCCAACTCGTCATCTCCACTGAATGGAGCCGGAGGAGGTGGGCACTCTGCACGGGAGCTCTCCTCCATTTGGAGTGGAAATGGGTGCTGTGCCGAAAATGCACCGTTGTGGAGCTTTCCTGGGAATCCTGGGCAGGGCGGCGGAGCTGATAGCTTTCGCGCTGCTAGCTTAAACGAACAACTGCACGAACAGCATCGGGGCCCTCCCCCGCAGCACCAACAACCATGCGCGGCTCAAATGCAGGAACCCTCGTTGGCGGCCCGTCGTGTTCAAGCCGTTCAAACCCCTCAGCAGCCTTTTTTTGAAAGAAGCAAGAGAGCACCCATGGATGATGCTCAATTTCCTAGCAGCATGGAGTGGGGAGTGAGCATTATGGGCACGTCATCTCAAGGTACACTTGGCTGGAGCAGCCGGACATCTGAAATATTCAGCGACGTGGCAACGATCCCTGCTGAAGATGGAAAGAGGGAGGAAGGAATGGACGACGGTGCTGGTGGGTGCAGCAGTGGGAAGGAATCGCCAGGGCATGGCATCCCGGTGGTGACAAGCAACAACGCTGGCTTCATCGCTGGATCATGCGACGGACCGGTTGAGAGAGAGAGGGGGGAGCGATTGAGACGCTCGGTGGGTAGTGCGATGTGTGGCGTGACTGATGTTGGTGGGGTTCCTTCAACCGTCTGCTCATCGCCAGCTCCAGATGTGGTTCAAGTTGGCCATCATCAAGGATGCAGTCCTGTGTCCAGGTTTGCTTCGCCAAGGGCAAGGGGGGGTGCTGTAGTAATACGGGGAAGCACGCTTGGTAGAGGAGTCAAGGTGATCGCGAACAATATCATAGGGCAAGGACGTTGCAACTCCAGCCTCCCTTCTTGTGGACAACAGGCATGTCTACAGGGTTTCCACCCGGGAATGCATGCGGGCCTGGGGACAGGACAGGCCCCCTCAACTGCTTCCATGTTTGGCAAAGGAGGGCTTCCCAGTTCAGGGGGGATGGTGTCTCCAGCCGGCGAAAGTGCACAGCAGCTGGGGACTTCCGAGCCAGCTTCGGCTTCTAGCCAGGCGCCAGGACTGATTTCGGGGATGGAGGCCTTGGTGGCACCCATTCAGACCCTCCCTGGAAAGTCTGCTTCTGTGTTGCCGGCGCTCAAACCCATGTCTCCTGCAAGTGCATCATCACTCGATAAGTTGTCTTCGTTGGGCATGGAGAAATGCGGGGCAGTGGGTGGCTTCTGTGGAACGGGTTCCCAGCTGAGTGTGGTACAAAGGCTGGAGCTTGCGGTCATTGGCATGAGAGCAAGTCTCGCAAGGGCAGGTTGCCGGGGTGTGTTTGTACAACCCATGGGTATGGCAGGGTTTTGGAAAGCGGTACTTGCGCAGGATTCTAGTTTGGCAAAGGAGAGCGTGAGCAAGTTGCTGATCCTGAAGCTATGGCTTGACCTCTCGTGCCGGGGAGTTATTCTGTAAGTGAAAAGAAGAAGAGCTTTCTCTCGGTCTTCTCTCGGCTTATCCTTTCTCCCTCACGAATGGTATGCATGCTGTTTGAACTGAAATTTACTTACTCCTTGCATGGTCGTGAACGTGCTCCACTTTTCCTCCTCCTCTGTCCTGGCATTCTGTTGTGCATGGCAAAATGACCGTGACAACAGTGATGAAGATATGATGATGATGATGATGATGATGAAGATGAAGAAAGTGGGGATAATTGGGTCGTAAGTGTGGCGTCAAGTAGAGCTGTACCCAATGATTTTTAGAATTGTACCCATGTGGATGATGGCTGCAAACACGATTTGTACATCTTGCAGCTCTGTCGGGATCCGAACTGGATGGTCGTATCCGCTTTCCCTCTCTGTGGGATGATCGCTTACTCTCTTGCTACTGTCTTCACCCAAATACAGCATACGGTCATTATTGCTGTATCTAGACTTGATCTTTACCGTCCAAGAACAGAGAAAATACGTACATTGATGATCGTTAATAGTGTCACCCACACTGACTCACTTATGTACTTTTATTTTCCGAAGTTGGCATCTAAATGGTACGGTTGTAGCACACACATGGAGGCTTTGGGGACCAGGGTATTTTTTTGTTTGGCTTAACAGGAATGCACAGAGAGACGCTGGACTTGGTTTCCAGCTCAATAGGGTATCTCAGAAGATAAACTAATTCAGTTATTACGAATAGTTAATTTAATTCGTTTAGAAATGTTTTTTTTTGGGGGTGGATAATTTGCGAAATACCCCTTTAAGTTGAGATATATGCCAGAATGCCTCTAAAAGATGTGGGTAGAGCGGAATGCCCTTTTGGGCCTAATGCTTTCCATTTTACCCCTGTCAGGCCCATGTGCAAATTTGTAATCTGGACCGTGTCATTTGGGCCTGGGCGTGCACCCTGTTTTACCTGGCTTGCCCTCCATACCGGGTGGGCAACTTTGCGCGATACCCAGGCCCGTCGGCGGGGCAGTTTGCCTCCGTGTTAGGCAGCTTCATTCATCCCCCTCCCTGGTGAAGTTCCCCATCTCCAGCTCCTCCTATGCCACGTTACCATCTCTGAAATCCTCCTGCTCTCTGTCTCTCTCTCGCTCCCCGCCGTGTGCAACTCCCACTATCTCGCTATCCCGCTCCTGCTATCCCGCCCCACTATCCTGCTCCAGCCATCTCTCTCTCTCTCTCTCTCTCTCTCTCTCTCTCTCTCTCTCTCTCTCTTCTCCTCCCCCCCCTCCTCCCCCCCCGCCACGGCTATCCCGCTATCCCACCGTGTGCCACTCCCACTATCCTGCGCTCCCACTCCCGATATCCCGCCCCACTATCCCGCTCCGGCTATCCCTCTCTCTCTCTCTCTCTCTCTCTCCTGCTATCCCCCCCCCGCTATCCTGCTCCAGCTATCCCTCTTCTCTCTCTCTGTGCAAGGGGGCAAAACACAAAGATGACCTTGGCCACTAGGGGTAAAACGAAAATACGTAGGGCCCAGGAAAAGTTGGTAAGTACCGGGACATTTTGCCAAGATGGACAGTACACGGTAGGGGTATTTTGCAAAGATGACAGGTCCAACCGACGCCAGGGGCATTTTGCAAAACATTTTTTGTGTCAGAGGGGTATTCCGCTCTACCCACATCTTTTAGGGGCATTTTGGCATCTATCTCAACTTATAGGGGCATTTGGGTATTCCGCTCTACCCACATCTTACAGGACCAAATCTACAGGCCCTCCTGGTGTGTAATCAAATGAGCTGATTTTCTTCTCTATGCCCTCAAAAGATACAGCGGTCCCACCGACAGATGCTGCCACGGGCCCACGAGAAACCGTGGCAGGGGCCTGTCGTCGGGTGTGCCAGGAGGGACAGGAGCGATGCGGGCGCAAAAAGGAAGCGCCGCGTGAAAAGAGTGCCACTCGGTGCCGCGTGAAAAGACAAGTGAGGGGAGTCACGGGTTGAGGCAGCGGAGTCGCAAGCTAAGACGAAATGACGCGGGGCCGGCCAGCGAGGGGAGAGGGAAGAGGTGGCCGGGGGGCTGGGCGTATATTTCGATGTTCTAGCGGAAGATTCATTCCATTTTGCTCATCGTGTGTGTGTGTGTGTGTGTGTGTGTGTGTGTGTGAGAGAGAGAGAGAGAGAGAGAGAGAGAGAGAGAGAGAGAGAGGCCAACAGGTAAGTCTCCAACCCCTCAACTGGCCAAATGCTACTTCCATCGATAGAATTAGCAAAATCGAATGAATCTTCTGCTAGAACATCAAAATATAGACTACTACACGCGCGCTCGCGCGTG